CTGACTTATCTCACTTAGTATAATGTCCTCAAGGTCCATCCACGTTGCTGCAAATGGTGGAATTTCCTCCTTTTTTATGGCTGAATAATATTCCTTGATATATGTATACCACCTCTTCTTTATCCATCCATCCACCGATGGACACTCAAGTTGTTTCCATGTCCTGGCGATTGTGAACAATGCTGCACTGAACATGGGGGGACAGATATCTTTTCGAGACAGTAATTTTGTTTCTTTTGGACAGATATTAGAAGTACTGGATCCAGTCGATTTTCCTTATTTGCAACAATTATGGTCTACAAAGTCACTGCGAAAACTGAATTAGCAAATACGACACTGTTGTTCCTAGGGGAAATTCAAAGTTAGGTTCCTGTGAGCCTCCGGTCACTGCCTTTTCATCGACGGATCCACTCGTGACCTTGTTGTAGGTGTGTTTCTATTTAGAGACATCTTATTTTATTTAATATAACATTATTGATTTATTGACATTGAATCCACAGCCAATGGCACTGTGACTCAGGCCTCAGTGAAGCTTATCTGACACGTATTTTCTCCGTTAGGCACATCACCGCCTTCGTGTGTTTAGGAACAATAAACAGCACTTCAGCACTGTGCTTGGGGGCCATTTTGAACAGCGAAATCACTAACGAAAGGCACAAAAATGTGAAAGACTTGGCACTAAATGGACCATGAAAAGGACGCTTGTTTACAGTATGAGAGCTGCAAGAAGACGACAGAGCATCGCCTTGCTCTGCCTCAGCTGGGCACGTACGTAAGGTACAGCCGTGTGCCGCTGTACGATGGGGATGTGTTATGAGAAACACGTCATTAGGTGATTTTCTCATTGTGAGAACATCATAGAGTGCACTTACAGAAACCTAGACGCATAGCCTACTGCACACCTAGTCTATGGTACTCATTTTATGGGACCACTGTCGTATTTGTGGTCTGACGTTGACTAAAACGTTACCATGCAGCGCAGGACTAGAATAGTTTGCTAGAATAGAATAGCTGCCTTCATAAAACACCACAGACTGGGGGGCTGAAACAACAGAAATTCATTTTCTCCCAGTTCTGGAGATCTTGGAAGTCTGAGGTCAGGGTGTCGGCGCGTTGGGTTACTCCCACGGCCTCTCTCCTTGGTTTTAGACAGTCACCTTTTCCCTCTGTCTTCACATGATCTTTCTGGAGTCTCTCTGAGGTTCTAATAGCCTCTTGTAAATACGTCAGTCAGACTGGATCAGGGCCCATCCTAACGGCCTCATTTTAACTCGATTACCTCTTTAAAGGCCCAAGCTGAAATCCAGTCACATTCTGAGGTACTGGGGGTTAGGGCTTGAACATACGAATTTTGAGAGGGACACAATTCAACCCGCAACAGTGTGGACCCGGGAGCTTCAAATTTTTCAGTGTTCTGCGCATGTCTGTGAATGATCTCAAAAGTCTTCAAGTTTTGACTTTGGGGTTACAAGTAAATTTTAGTGAGTAGGCAAATTCGTAAATATGGACTAATAACGATTGACGGTAATTGCATCTATGACAACCGTTGAGGTCGAAATCTGGTAGGCTGCTGAATTTTTGATACTTGCACAGCTGGTCTAAGACTCTAAGAATAGAAGTTTCTCTCCAGTTCCCTAGACATGGACGGACATGCACAGCCGGGGTACCTACGAGGAGGGAGGGGGGCTTTCTTATTCTCAGTAGGCTCCTCTATCCCCTCTTTCTCGAATTCTTCTCTTTGAGTGAAATCTTATTGAGTTTAAAGAGAGGGAAAACAACAGTGCATGTAAAGCTACTGGCCTCACCCAAAACGTTATAAAATGTGCTATAAATCCTGGGAACACGATGTCTGTACACTCTGACAGACAGCTGGAGGGGATGGGGTGGGGGAACGGAGGATAATTTCTCACCCTTCTCCAGCTCCCATAGTCTACCATAGGCTCCTGTTCATTTTCTCCTTCATCTCCCAGCAGAGCCCGTGGGGTGAGACGCGGCAACAATTATCGGAGGTAAGAAGGAGATTGAGGTGCACGAAATGATCTGGCTGCTTAGGGGTCAGTCTCACAACCAGAGTCTTCCGACCCCCAAACTTGTCCTCTTTCTTCGACTTCTGAGTTGGAACAAACTGAATTGGCCCCAGATGTGGATATCAAGGCATCTGCTTTTGAGAAGATCAATAATTCTTTCTAGGTCTTAGATATTGGTGAATTCTTTTACGTTTCTACACTCATTCCTTGAGTATCTACTATACGCAAGAGAGGGGATGGGCGTCGGGTCCAGAGGTGATGGAGCCCTGGCCTCTATCATGGTGGAATTCTGACAGTCTACGGCACACTGCTCAGGAGCACTATAACGTAAGCCACATAAGCCACTTCACTTTGTCTAGTAGCCGCAACAGAAAACAGAACCAGGTGAAATGAATTTCCTAATACATTTATTTTATCCAATGTATCCCAAATATTATCACTTCAACATGTAATCAGTATGAAAATTGTTCATAAGATATTTTACATTCTTTTATTCGTACTACAGTTTTTCAAAATCCAGTGTGGATTTTACACTTACAGCACATCCCAATTTGTCCAGCTCGACCAGAGTGCTCACAGCCACATGTGGCCGGTAGCTACCATATTGGATGGCACATAACTGGGGGAGACATTTCTCAGCGAATTCATATACCACCAGCATGGGATGCTGGTTGTGATGAAAGCCTCTACTCTGTACGCTGGGGACACAGGGAGGGAGCGTTTCACTGGAATTGCTTCCAAAGGCTTCCCAGAGGAGGGGCCTTTTTTTTTTTTTAAAGATTGGCACTTGAGCTAACACCTGTTGCCAATCTTCTTTCTTTCTTTTCTGCTTTTTCTCCCCAAATCCCCCCAGGACATAGTTATGCATTTTTTCAGTTGTGGGTCCTTCTAGTTGTGGCATGTGGGACGCCGCCTCAACGTGGCCCGACGAGCAGTGCCATGTCTGCGCGCAGGATCCGAACCGGCGAAACCCTGGGCTGCTGAAGCGGAGCGCGTGAACTCAACAACTCGGCCACAGGGCCAGCCCCAAGAGGGGACTTTTGAGTTGGGACGTGATTGCACCCAGAAGGGAAAGACATCCTTGGCAAAGGTAGATGCACTCATCTGGGGGCCAGTGAAAGGGCGAGGCCCAATTCTCCGAGCAGCTTGGTCCTCATAGTCTTCAGGTTGGCTTGAGTTTTGCATGGGGACTTGAGCTCCAGGAGGGACCGTCAATTTTCAGTCCCGATGAATTTGCTCGGGGCTGTATGCTTAGAACTGGATGAGCCAATGCCTGTTCTCTAGGAGCTCGTCTCTAGACCAGTGCTTCTCAAACCCAGGTAGTCATCAGAGTCACCTGGAGGGCTCGTGAAAACACCAATTCCTTGGCCCCACCTCGGTTTCTGATTTAGTTGGCCTGGGGTTGTGCCTGAGAATTTGCATTTCTTGCAAGCTTCAAGCTGCTGCTGCTTGGACAACCAGTCTTTGAGAACCCTTGGTCTAGTAGACGAGTAAAGCTATCAAACATTCATTCAACAAACATTCCCAGCTTAGCACTTTGTGGCAGGCGCTGCTTCGGCAATGGGGAGACAGTGGTAAGCAAGACAACGAGGTCCCCTTCTTCAGTGGAGCTCCAAGTATGGGCACGAATTGCAGATGGCGGTGACCTCAGGGATCTGGAGTTGCCCCGATAATAATAATATACTATCCTCAGCCCTAAAACTCTGATGCCTATACAAATTACAACGTTTTGACATCCAGAATTATTTCTACTCCTCGAAAGAAACATCGGCCAGAAGGGATATACCATTTAATGAGAACTTACTCTGTGACGCATTTTGTGGCAGGGTCTTTACAGACCTGACCATGGTGTATTCTGACAGTGTGACAATCACTGCCACATGCTTTATGTAGTGGCAGTGACCCATTTCAGAAAGGTTAGTGGGATAACTTGCTCACATAGTCATGCATTGCACCCTGAAGTTTCGGTCAGTGATGGACAGCATATATGACGCTGGTCCCATGAGATTAGTACCATACAGCCCAGGTGTGTGGTAGGCTATGCCATCTAGGTTTGTGTAAGTACACTCTGTGATGTTCGCACAATGATAGAAATCACCTAATGACATATTTCTCAAAACACACCCCCGTCATTAAGCAACGCATGACTATATTTCCACAACTGGTTCATGACGGGGCTGTGGTTTGTCTCGGCTCTGTTTGTTGGTTCATCCTGTTCCCTTGGTCTGGTCCTCTTAGCAACACATCCCCTCCTCCAGTTTTTCTAGTCAACTTCTCTTGCTCATCTTTCAGGTCCCTAGGCAGCCACCAATTCTTCAGAAAATTCCTTCTTGACCTCCCCGATAAGTTTTGATGGTGTATTTATTAATTATTTCAATTCACAGGGGCTGTTACACAGGGACTGCTTAATGAAACTCGTTGATTGAATGAATGAGTTAATGAATTCAATGAAATCAAGGAAGGCTTCTTGGAGGAGGTGGACCTTAACTTACTGGGCTGAAAAGAAGACACTTGAGGAGGCTGCAGCAGGGAGAGGAGCAGCCTGGCAGTTAAAATCAGAGACAGACTTGAACCTGGAGAGGTGGAGGCTTGTGGGGGGACCAGGCACTCTGCATGAACTTGGGACTTGGGTAGATGGGTGGGGGTCAGACTGACAGAGATGGTAGAGGCAGAAGTGGAATTCCGATAAATGAGTCCAGGAGATAGGGAGCCCCTGAATGTTTGGGGGCAGCTGAGCCACGTCTTCCTGTTTTCTGCTTTAGAGGAAAAACTCAGCTCCTCAGGGTCCTGTGATGGGTGGTTGGGGGAGTTGAGAGAAGGAATCAGAGTTAGGACTCAAGCTCCAAAATCACAGGCTTGGGCTCAAGTCCTCGTTGCAGCCCTTAGCAGCACCTGACTGCGCGCAAGTCGCTTAGTGGCGCTCGGAAGCTCAGTTTCATTCTCTGACAAATGCCCCGCCCCCCTCGCTCCCCCTCCGCCCCCCTCCACTGCCCTCATCACCGAATTCATGGTATCGTTGTACAGATTAAATGAGATACTCTAGTGGGAATTGCCTGGGACAGCGTCTGGCACGTGGCGAGTCCTGAAGACGCACGAGCTGTTACTACAGAGATAATTTTCCCTGTCTCTCCTTTCTTCCTCCTTCTCACCCTCTTCCTCCTCTCTTCGCACATTGCCGAGAAGATCCTGAGGCCTCCTGCGTGGACCGCGAGAACTGCTGTGGGCGTCCAGGTAGGTGGGATGTCACTGAGGGACAAAAGGCAGGGGCAGGGGGTGGCCGGGCAAGGCACAGGCAGAGACGGTCCCAGCGGGGGCATTCAGTCTCCCACCTGATTCCTTGCGACCCACAGAAGGCAGATCCTTCACCTTTTGGTGCCTCCGTTTCGACATCAGCATCCGGGGCACCGTCCTGCCCGCTGCCCATCGCGGCAGTTATTCTCTCCCTGTCCTGAGTTCCTAATCTCCTCCCAGGAAATAATTTAGCAACTGCGGAGGCCAGCGAGGGGCTGAGGCCAAAGCCGAGGAATGCCAAGAACATGCTAATCTGAAGGGAAGTCCCCGCCTGCCGTTTAGGCCGCGTTGCACTCACCTCCACAGAAAACAGAAACAAATGACGCTCCGAGAAGGAAAAACAAACGTCCCGAGTTCACTTGGCTGCGGGGCCTTTTCAGAGAGCGAATTACAGTAAATCTAAAAATAAGGCCTGGGGAGGACCAGTGTGCTTTTTCCTTAAATGCACAAAAGGTTTCTCCTTTATACCTGACGGGGGAACAATATAGTTCAACACGCACATTTTCCCTTATTTTGTTGCGTGAGACCCAGAAAAGCTCAGGGGAGAAAGAGTTCCTGAAATTGTAGCTTGTTACTTGAAGACCAAATCCAGGGAAAGTTATTTTTATACCTAGTGGGGTATTTTTTTTCCTTCTTCCTCCTCCTTTGACTGCCTGGTATTTATCTTCACAATTAAGGGGTTTGTCTTGTTAAACAAAGTATTTTTTTTTTCTTCCCTTGATTATAAAATAAATACATGTTCATTGTAGAAAATTAGAAACTACCAAAAAAAAAAAAAGGAAATAGAAAAAAGACATGTCTTTCAAAGATAACCAACCGTGGTTAAGGCTTTGATACATTTTCTTCTGGTCTGTTAAATAGTTAAATCCATCTGATGTATATATATTTGTATCCCACAGCTATAATGAAATATTTCGAGCACAGGACAGAATACACTGCCTGCCCCTTTCCCATCTCATCTCCCTTCTTTTCTCCCCAGAGGTAAGTTTCTTTATGATTCTGTTGCTTATTTTCATTGTTTTCCACATATTTAGGTGTCACTAAACAATGTATTGTTTAATTTTGCATGTTTTTGGGTTTTGCATAAATGCCAGTAGAGTGTATATTATAGCTCAGGAGTGCCAAGAAATCTCTCTCTCTTTTTTTTTTGGTGAGGAAGATTGGCCCTGAGCTAAAATCTGTTGCCAATCCTGCTCTTTTTGCTTGAGGAAGATTGTTGCTGAGCTAAAATCTGTGCCCATCTTCCTCTATTTTGTATGTGGGAGGCCACCACAGCATGGCTTGATGAGTGGTGTGTATGTCCGCACCCAGGATCTGAACCGGCACACCCCAGGCCACTGAAGTGGATTTAGCAAACTTAACCACTACGCCACCGGGCCAGCCCCAAGAGTGCCAAGAAATCTTGTGGGGACTGGTCACCTGATGACCCTGGATGGATCACCACAGATTTAAGTTGATCCTGGTGTGCTATGTAGACAGTAGAAGTATTTTCATTTTCTAAGTGAATCAAGACATTAAGAAAGGCTAGGAAGCCATTGCTTTTATTTTTCATTCCTCGTAAGTTTGCGAGAGTCAGCAGTGAAGGTGTGTTTATTTCTCGTTTGTTCATTTTTACTGCTGTATAGTATTTCCTTGTGTGAGTTTATCGCAAGTTACAGTGCCTCCCCATCATCCCATGGATAGATATTTGAGTCGTTTTTGGTCTTGACTATTCAAACAATATTTTTATGAACACTCTTAAGCGTGTCTCCTGGCTCGTGTGTGTAAGAGCTCTCAATTTGGGGCGTGCATCTGCGCTGGGTCATAGGGTATGGGCATCCTGAAAGTTACTAGAAAATGGCAAACTCTTTTCCAAAACGATCACACAAATACCTGCATCTCCTCTGGAAAGTGTCTGAGGGTTCCCGCTGCTCCAGATCCTTGGAGCTGCTGGGGATTGCTAGAATTTTCAATTTTTGCCATTCGGTGGATGAAAATGATATCACATTGTGATTTTCATTTAAATTTTCTTGATTTCTGATCAGGTTGACTGCCTTTCAAAAATTGTTTTCTTTTTGCCATTCAAATTTTCTCCTTTTTCAAAATGTCTCTTAATATCCTTGGCTCATTTTTCTGTTAGGTTATTATTTTTTTTCTTTTGGTAAGAGCTCTTTATATGCTGTGAGTACAATTCCTTAGTTAGCGTTGTAAATATTTCCTCCCAGTTTTTGACTGTTCACTCTTCTATGTTGTATTTTGAGGAATAGAAGTTACTGAATTGATCAATTTGATAAAAGTTAATGCTTTTTTGGTATGTCTTATTAAAACAATCCTTCTGACCTTGAAGTCATCTGTATATTCTATATTTCTTCAAAAATTTTTAAAGTTTTGCTTTTCATCTCAATTACTAAAGTATCTGAATCTGATTTTTTTGTTTGGGTGAAGTAGGAATCAAAATTGTTACTGTCTGTTCCATCTGAATAGCTGATGTTCCATAACTATTTATTGAATAATCTATCTCTATCCACGGACCTGCCATGAAATGCTTTCCTATCTTAGGTATCTATAAAGGCAAAGGTCTGTTTCCGGGCTCAATTCTCTCCCTATTGGCAAATATATCCCTCCACATATTAATAAGACTCTATCTTAATTTTTATAATTTTATATTAAGTTCCGATATTTGGAAGGGCATGGTTTGTTATTTGATATTTGTTATTCTTCAAAATTGTTTGAATGACTCTTGGCCCTTTGATCTTGCTCACACATTTCGAATTAGATGTTCAAGTTCTTTGGATATTTTGATTTCAATTGTATTAAATCTGCAGATTGATTTGGGGACAGTTGACGTCTTTATATTGAAACTTCCTATCCATGAACACAGCCCCGTTCTCTCCTTCTATTTAAGTTTTCCAAATGTCATCTAACAAGATTTATAGCTTTTTGCATAAAGGTCTTGCACATTTTTTATTAGAATTATTTTTATCGTAATAAATTGCATTTTTAACTGATGGTTGTTGGGTCGTAAAAATGTAACTGAGTTTTGTTTACTGATGATTTTGCTAATTTTCTCATTCTTTCTAAAAATTTGTAGCTTCTATTGGTGTTTTTATGCAGAAAATCATATAAGTTGGGAATAAAGACAATTTTTATACTTTTAAAAAATCTGTGTCGTCTGATTGTATGAGGTAGAACCTCTAAAAAAAGTAACCAAACTTAAACTAGGATAGCAGCTTCTTTGTTGACTGTAAAGGAAATTCTACTAATAATTCACCATTAAGTATGATATTTACTTTGGATTTTTGTAATATCCTTTTTCAAGTTAAGAAAGTTTCTAGTTTGAATTTGCTAAATTTTTTTTTAAAGCACTTATTAGTGGTGAATTTTTTTTTTTTTTTTTTTTTTGAGGAAGATTAGCCCTGAGCTAACATCTGCCACCAATCCTCCTCTTTTTGCTGAGGAAGACTGGCCCTGAGCTAACATCTGTGCCCATCTTCCTCTACTTTATATGTGGGACGCCTACCGCAGCATGGCTTGCCAAGCGGTGCCATGTCCACACCTGGGATCCAAACCGGTGAACCCCGGGCCGCCGATAGAGAACGTGAGAACTTAACCGCTGAGCCACCGGGCTGGCCCCTAGTGGGGAATTTTTAAAGATATTTCTCTGTGTCTACTCGTTGGATCCTGTGATTAATCTCGCTTAATATGTTACAATAATGAATAGCAAAAATAAATATCTAATTTCAGTCAACATGACATTGCTTGGATGACCCAAATTTGGTTGCCTGCGTTAACTATCTTTATAATTTCTGAATTTGATTTGCTAAAATTTTGTTTGAGGAGTTTGCATCTATGTTCATGTGACTAGTGATTTTTATTGGCTGGTGATTTTCCTTTTTTATATTGTATTTGCCTCATTTTGGTATCGAAGCTGTACCTTCCTCATCAAATGAGTGGAGAAATCGTTTTCCTCTTTAAGTTCTCGGCAAGAGTTTGAACTATCTGTAATTACCTGCTCTTGACATTTAGTTAGAACTTGCTTCTGTAACCATTGGACCTGTGACTTCTTTATGGAATGGTTTTAAATTATAAATTTAATTTTTTTAATGGTTAAAGGAAAAGGCAGATTTTCTAATTTTTTTAAAGAAAATTTTGGTAGATTATACTCTGCTATGAATTTTTCCATTTTATCTAAGTTTAAGAATTTATCGGCATAAAGTTGATCGTAGTATTTCTTATCCTTTTAACGTCTGCCCTATCTATAATTGTTTATCCCTTTTCTTATTCCTAAGATTAGCTATTTGAGCCTTCTGTCATTTTCTTCTTGATCATTCTCACTGAACCCATCAATTTTATTAGGCTTCCTAAAGAGCCAACTTTTGGCTTTGTTAAAGCTCTCTGTCTTATTTTCATTTTGTATTTTATGAATTTCTGCTCTCATTTTTAATTCTTTCTTATGTCTACTCTCCTTGGGTTCGTTCAGTGGTTATTTTCTAATTCCTTAAGTTGGATGGTTAGCTCACCCATGTTCAGCCTTTCTTCTTTTCAAATCTGAGCATCCAAGGCTGCACGGTCCTCCCTGAGGACTGGTTTAGCTGTGCTCAGTACATTTTGGTGCGTAGCATTTCCACCGACATTCATTTCTACGTATGTTCTAATTTCTACTTTAATTCTTTCTTTGATCTTTGACTTATTGAGAAGTATGCTCATAAATTTCCAAAACCATAGAGTTTTCTTTGTTATCTTTTTGTTATTTATTTCCAACTGAATTGATTTGTGGTTAGAGAACGCAGTGTATATGCTGTGCTTCTGAATTTTTTTGGACTGACTTTATGGTCAAGGTTTCATGTATTAAGTGAAAACCATATGGGTGGCACTTTATATACATTATCTTGACTCCTCCCAACAAGGATTCCAAGTACGAAATAATGTTTATTTAACAGATGAGAAGCTGAGGCTCAGAGAGTAAGTGCAGGAAGCAGGAGTTAATTCAGGTTAGCTTAACTCAAAAGAGTTTTTCTACTCATATAGTAGCTTAGTTTGTCATTTGGAAAATAAGATAGAGTAATACTAGTTAGATTATTATTATGATATCAATATGATATTATTCATATTAGGGAATATGAATTTAAGAGCTCTCTGGGCATTTCCCCTTCTGATCTTAGAGCTAAGCTCTTCATTAATTTCTTGAACCCTTCAGGAGATCTATTGAGGCTGTGCTGGGCTGGGCCCTGGATCTATAGCTTGTCCTTGAAAAGGCCACATTCTACTTGGAAAGTGAAGGAAACTTGGCTTACTGTCTCCTAACATGACTCTTAGCAGCAGAGGGTCATTTGTCCTTTTAGTGAAATACCAAAAAAATCTCTTAGAAGACACTTGCAGGAAAATGTTGAATAACTGAGTTGCTGTTTCGGGCTGGTTGTTGTGGTGTTGATTCTGTAATCATTGTTGTGGATTTTAGTTCCTGCTCTTTCTAAGGTTCTGCCCCTGCCTCCTGGTCCTGGGCGCAGGTGAGATGTAAATAAATGAAACCTCTGGTTTCCAGCTCAGCTCTCTCCCTGGGAGGTTTCGCCTCTCCCATCACTGCGGCTTCCTCGTGGATGCTGGCTCCCGCAGATCCGGGTCTCCAGCCCCATCCTTGCCTCCACTTCCTGTCTTAACTGGCCCATGCCTCTCTGCTGAGGACACCATTTGCCCCTGGGCTTTGGGAGTGAATATCTCTGAGCCAAGGGCTGGAGGCAGAGGCTGGCTTCTCTGGCTTTCCCCCATGCCACTTCCAGATCCTTGCACACGGGCCTCTGCAGCCTGCATCTCCTCCACACTCCTTTATTCTTCACTTCTGAGGCCAGGCAGTGGCTGGGCACTCTCTCATACAGCAGGTGGTTCAATTCATCTTCCCAAAGCGCCTTGCAAGAAAGGCATGCTCACCTCTACTTTGCAGATGTGAAAACTGGAAGCTTAGAAAGGTGAAAATTTGTCCAAGGCCTTGCCTGGGATGCAAACTCAGGTCCACCTCCAGGTGTGTGTTCTTTTCCCCGATTCGCTGTCTTGAGAGGCTTAAGATTTTATTCCTGATGCTACTAAGTGGTGGCCACGGGCAAGTCACTGGTCTTCTGTAGACCCTAGTTTCTTCCTCTTAAAACTGGGGAAACTTATACCTACCTTCCCTTTTTATAGGATGGGTGGATGTTTCAAAGCAACTGAAAGCTCTTTTTAGAAGATGCCTGACCTTAGAAAGGCTGGCTGCAAGGTCCAACTCTGAGCCTCACACATTCTTTCTTCCCAGACAGGGATAAACCTCAGAGAGCCGAGTCCCTTTGTGGGGGCCTCTCTGGGGTTGTTGTCTATGCCTGTCTGGATCCGGGGATGCTAAAAAGCTTGCCTTTTAATTCCAGGACAATGGGAAAGCAGTGAAGGCATTTTAAGCAATGATGATGATGATGACAATAATAATCACGCTGCTGCTAATAGCTAATGTTTATTAAGTGCTAGGCATTTCTTCATTAACTCATAATCCACGCAACAACCACTGTAAGGGGGTAGATTCTATTATTCTTGTTTTATAGATGAGGAAGCTAAGGTTCAGAGATGTTAAGTAACTTACCTAAGGCCACACAGGTGATCTGTGGCTGACACAGACTTCAAACCCAGGTTGTCTGACTCCAGAGGCCTCTGTCTTAACCTTGACTTTCTCCTCCGTGGCCAGAGCTGAAGTGTTACCTTGCTTGCTTTTTCAGTTTGCCTTTTAAGAAGATAATTCTGTGTGGAGGATGAGAGGAGGAGAGACTGGAAGCAAAGAGAACAACCGGAAGCCCTCATCTAAGCAGAAGACAGTGGTGGCCTTAATCTGAGGGGGTGACTGTGGAGTTTGACAAATTTGAGAGGCTTTAAGACACTGGAAGGAAGAGTACATGCATTCATTCATTCAGTGGCTGTTACCTGAGCCCCCAAGATGTGTCAGGCCCAGAAATGGCCAGGCCTTGGTTAGAGAGTGGTCTGGAAGTGCTGGGGGTCTGTGAGTGAGAGGGCGGTGATTTCATTGGATAAAGAAGGTCCTTCCTGAAAGTGAAATTGCAGCCCACAGCACTGCCCAGGGCAGAAGGAGTGGAGGGAAGATTACTGGAAGGTGCCAGAATCTCCCCTCAAGTCCTACTGCCGGTGGGAGGTGTGAGCCACACAGAGAAGGCCTCCTGTGGTTCCCACCCTGCTGTGACTGGCTGCCTTTTGGCTCGAGAGGAGGTTTGCCTTGGCTTTGATTCCTGGTTAATTACCCTCCAAGGTTAATTCTGTAAACGCCAGTAATGACCACGAGTTAATTTCTCTCTCTCCCCTGCCCGCCTCACTTCTTCAATTTTTTTTTCTTTAATGGGCCATCCAAGCTTGTTGGAATGTTTACCAAAGCAGGATAGTTAGAGATGTAAATAAATGAATTTACCTTGTCAAAAGGATCTGGAGATAGAATTAAGGCGAGAGGAGTAATTTACAGGTAAATAATTACTTGGAAACCTCAGTGGGGAGACTGCTGGGTTTCTCTAATTATTTATCTTCTCCCAATTTTCTCTTCTTTGAACTGCCAGCGTAGGGGTGTACGGGGGTGGTGTGGGGAGCGGGAGACGCTATTTTGGATTTCCCTTCTCGATTGTGAAATGCCTTTTTTGGGGGGGGACCTTGGCCAGCATGCAGGGCTGGCCAGTCAAGCCCTTGGCAATTTGCAGGACACTTTTATGCTCATGACTTCATTCTGATCCTCTCGTGTGCTCTCAGAGGTGGGCGGTATTGCTGGCCCCATTTATGGATGGAGAAACTGAGGTTCCTAGGGGTGAGGCCAAACGACGAATAAATGGTGTTTTGTGGGTCAGCCCCAGGCTCTGATTCTCCCAGCTTCCAGCAGCCCTTGACCTTTCCCTGGTGGTTCTTGCCCCCTCCCAAACCCCCGGCCTGGCTGGGTTCCTCACGGAGCCCAAAAGCTCCGTTGCCAACAACCTGCTCTGTCTTCCCCATAGGCTGGTGGCCGCACCCCTTCCTTACGCTGCTCATTTTCCATTTTAAGATTTCCTGTTTGAACTAAAGGGCAAAGATCTCTGCAGTATCAGCCTGGAGCCGGGCTTCTGTGTGTATAAAGGGGAGCCTCGGCTCCTGCCTCCTGTTTGTCCACTGGCCTTATCGAGGGAGCCCAAGTCCCAAGTTCAGGGGTTCCAGTTCCTTCCCGATTTGCTGGGTAAAGTCCGGCCCTTCCGTGCGGGTGGCCAGGGCGGGTGGCCAGCCTGGAGCCAGCAGTCATTTACGGCCGGGCAGTGCTTCCGTCCTGCCTGGCGAGCCGCTGGCTGCAGCAGAGAGACGGATGGATGGATGGACACGGGGACTCAGGAGGGCCTTCCTTCTTTCCCTTCCCCTCCTTTGCCCTCTGCTGTGGGCTGCCTCATCTGGTGCCTTGCTGGCCTGGGCAGCCATGTAGGGCTGGCCAGGTCCATGCTCCCTGCAGCCTCCTGGAAACTACAGGTCTTCTTTTGGGGTCATGCTGGCTCTCCAGACCGGCACACGCACTCACGCTCACACACGTATTTCTGCACAAGCACACACTCCCAGCTAAGACCGGGGATCTCCACGGCTGAGTCCTTTCCCAGAGAGAGGCACTTCACTGGTGCCATTTTTATGGAGGATGATAAGAAGGATGGCTGGAAGAGCAGCCTGCTGGTGCCAAGGTCCTTTCATCTGCGAGTCTCCTCTGATCCGCGGGACAAACAGGACTCATCAGGTAGCGATCGTCCCCGTTTTACAGATGAGTGAACGCAACTCAGAATCAATGGCTTCATTTAATCAGCCCTTTATTCAACACGAGTTTATAGGGAGCCCATCTCCCCGGTTCTGGGGGTTAGAGGAGACGTGGATGCAGGCCTTCTTTGGGTTGCTCAGAAAGTCAGAGAACAAAATCGGTGATTGCAAGGCAGGGCGCAGAATGCCAGAAGAAGCCCCCTGGGGTGTTGTGGGAGCAAGGAGTCGGGGTATGGGGTGGGGACCCAGGAAATGCTTCCAGAAGATTTGTCCACGACATCTGTGCAGCACAAGGAGACCTGGAGAAGGGTTGTGGCTCTCAGTGGTCTCGATAGGACATTCCCCACCTAGCAGAGTCTGCACGCAAAGGATGCTCAGGGTCCTTCTACGTTGACCATAAGACTATAGGTCTCTCCACTGGATCGTCAGCCCTGCCAGAGGAGGGGCTTCATCTGCTTTGTGAACTGCTTTATCTCCAGGGCCGAAAACAGAGCCTGGCCCAAGGCCCTCGATAAATATTTGCTGTTGAATGAATAGATACACACGCACACACGATGCATTCACGCCACTCTATATCTCAGAACTATAGAATCCACAAGCTGCAGGAAGCTTCTAGAATAGTCCAGGTTGCTAGCTGGGAGCAGATCCAGAGCCAGAACCTTGGAGACCTGACTCTGAGTCTCCTGTGCTTCCCCCAAAGAGCATGGGACTCGGTAGAGGTGTTAGGGCACTCAAGTCTGGTCCCATTTACATCTTCTAACTTTGGGTGACCTTATTTTCCTTCACTACAGAATAAGAAAGTCCTGTTGGCTGACCTTGGGAAGCCCCCTTCCTGCTCAAACATGAGGCAAGTCTGGGAATGGGTAAGTGGCACTAGGCAGGAATTTCCCTGAGCTGAAGAAACTCCTTCTCTTTCTAGTCTGAGATGGCAGTCTGGTCTCCCTCTGCCAACCCTTGTGGCCAGAAGGATGGCTGGCCTGTGGTCACTGCTTCTGGCCCTCTGGGCTCCTGCTCATCTCCCCGCCGGCCTCCCCTGCTGCATGCTGGGATGGATGGGGATGTGGGCTGCTTACCTGCTCAGGGGGCTCTGCCCACTCTGAGCCCATCTCCCCATTCCCTTCTCCAGAATGAGATGTCTGGGACCCAAGGAGCCTGGGGATGATGGGGTGTCACTGGCTGTCCTAGCCTGTGGTCATCCTAGAGCCCCAAGGCCTGTGCAGGGTCCTGACCCAGAGTTGCCCAAGCTGGCCTGCCCTTTCTCCTTCCTCCCTCATGGCCGCTGACCTGTGCAGACTGCAGTAGGATTTCTCTTGAGGCTCAGAGACTGCAGCATTGCTGGGAAAGACCTGTGATGCCCAAAGGGCCCTCAGCCTGCAGCCAGCATCGTTCCTGGGAGGCAGCGCTTAGAGACTTCATGGGCAGGAAAGATGCTCCATCTGTCTGCCCTAGCCGCCCAGCCTCTCCCAACTGGAGCCCTTTCCAGTGATGTGGATTTCCCTTCTCTGTCACTCAACTTCCCCTTCCTCATCCCTGCCCACCAGGAGGGAAGCTGGGACAGTGGAACTTGAAGTTAGAAAGGATAGAAAGCCCGTAAACCCCAGCCCTGCCACAAACCAGCAGTGAGACCGAGTCTCAGGTTTCTCATCTAGAAAATGATTATTTCTTCCCAGGCTTGTGATGAAGATTCTAGGAGATAATGTCTGTGAACCTCTGGCCAGAGGAGCAGTGAACCATCCTGGAGAGTTAGCTCTGGGCTAGGCCCTCTTCTGAGCCCCCCACAACCCTAGGAGGTGGATGCTCTTTACTCCTATTTTACAGCTAGGTTAAGTGGTGGTCCACAGTCAGACAGATGTAGGTGGCAAAGCTGGGGTCATGAATCCAGCAGCCCGGTATCCCAGTACCCCACTGCTTTGGGGAGACATGAGTTTGCTGAGCTCGGGTTGGGTTCAGGGACTCCCAGCTAATTTGGGAGCTGCTGGCCATTTGCCTTGTTGAGGCCTCCTTGGGCTGTCTTGGGGCCTTCACCCATCCCCTTGCTCTCAGTTCCCTTTCCTCCCACACACCCTCCCACACATCTTGGGCTGACACTTGGCTCTGTTTTCTCATTCTGCATCCAGGGATGGAGGCAGAGTACCTTAGGCTGAAGTTTTGTTAAGAGGCATAAACTGAAGTTGTATCTGTCATTTAAAGGAGGCCAGAGCACGGCTTCTGAGTGGTGATTCAATTCAATGGATGTTAACGAGGCAGGACAAGGCTGCCCCACACCCCCAGAGCTTATAGCCCCCAGGCTTTGCCAGCAGGACACCCACCCCACCAAAGCTGAGCCTGCTGGGAGCAATGGGGTCTCAGCCTCAGCACCTATAGGCCTCAGAGGCCAGGCTAGAAGGGAAGTAGAAACCAGGTTCAGGGGTAGGAAAGGGCTGTGCCCATTTCACAGGCAGGAAGGGTGAGGGTCATGTAAAATATCTCTGTTTTACATTTTATCTCTATTCTGTCTTCAGGAGACAGAAGGAGGATTTCGATGATCCATGAGGGCTGTAAATCCCACAGCTGAGAAAGCGATTTGCCCAAGGGCACACGGCCCGTTCCGCCTCCAGGAAGGCAGCCTCATGGCTCCCTGGCCATCCAAGGGGTCCTTCCAGTCAGGGATTGTGAGAGAACAAACTGGAGGCCGCAGAGCAAGAAGCTTTTGGAAACCCAGAGCCTTGCGTTTGCCACTGGGCTCCACCACGGAGCTGCTGAGTGGTCTGCAGTGGGGCTCTCCCATCTGGACTCGCCTGACCACACCCATCCTGCTAGGACAGGGGATCCAGGCTCAGTCAACCATTCCTGTGTCCTTGCATCAGGGATCAAAGTATGAGGGTAGTCTTGGGCTGGGGGAGAGAAGACATCTATCTTCTCTTTCCCCAATGACTTAATTCTTCCGTGAGTCCTGTAACAGAGGCTGGCTACCTCTTATCTCCTGACAAGGGACACACAGTTTTCCTCTTCTGACTTGAAAAAGGGAACGAAGGCAGAGATAGGAGTCGGAGAGTCTTTCCCTAGGATGGAGGGGAGATAGGAAGAAGCAGGAACCTCAGCTCTAAGGTGGAATCAGTAGCCTGACATACTCTCAACTCAATGCCAGCCTTAACAGGGGGAACGGAAGACACATATTCAACATGCAGATTCATGGTAAGTTGTACCTGGACTCAGAAATGACCACATGTGAAAAAAAAGAGGTGTGTTTTAGGATGGAGGAAATATGATATTTACTTAGAAATGAAAATCGATTGCCTTTAACTTATGATAAGATAATTATGCTCTTCTGAGTCATTGTCATGCATTTGTGTTCATAAACCTCCCTCATTAAGTAGTAAGGGTACGTATTTTATCTTAATTCGTTTTTTATAGGGCTGTGAATTCTTGCATTTATCTACCTTTGTTTTCCTGTGTAGACACAAGGCTGCCTGGCCTCGGAGAGGTGAGATAACTTATTATCCTGCAACGATTTCCCTGGAACCCAGCCTAGGGCTGAAGTGGCCTCTCGTTTCTCATGTTACTGCCTGACGGCAACCGTGGGTGATTCACCTCATCTCTCTGCCTCTGTTTTCTCGTTGGCACAATGGGGTTAATACACTGCATCTCTCACGGAGCTGTTCCGAGGATGCAGGGGGAGGCTGCTACAGTTCCTCTGTGAAGGGGGAGCTGGTATTGTCTAAAGCCCACACGTGGCCTTAGCCATTCCTCCCTACTGTCCCAGTTACCGTGATTGGCCAAGTAAACATGAACTGGTGTTGGCTTGTGTGATCTGAGAAGGCACAGGGAAGGTCTCCGAAGAAGGGAACCAAGTCAGATGGAGGCTCTGAGACCTCGTGGCCCAGATTCAGATCCCGGCTTGACAACTCACAAGCTGTATAACTTCGAACACGCGATCTTGTAACTCTTTAAGCCTCAGTTTCCTCATCTGTGAAATGGGGCTAATAATGATATCAGGATTCAGTGAGAATATCAAGTGTATGTATAAAGTTTAGCATAGTAAATCAGAGCCCTGATTATTATTTTTAAATAAAAATATATGCCAGCCCCTGCACTAGATACTTGCCTTGTATGAGCTCTGATGACCCTCTGCAAGGCTGGGGTTATTTGCTTCATGTTGTAGATGGAGAACCAGCCTTGGCAAGGTTGGGAACTCCCTCTTGGTGGGTGCTACAGTGGAATGATGCTCCCTTCCCCTCCCTCAGCTGCTCTCCTGACTCAACAGGGGAAACGCAGCTCTCCTGGGATTGAGAATGGTGCCTGCTCATTCATCGCCAAGCTGGGGTCAAAGCTCCTTTGACACTTTCTAGATGAAAGTTTCCTTCTGCCGCAGACACTGTGGAGAGTCTCAGGGTTAACGTCGACAGCTGTTGACGTTGACAGGGCCAAGCAGACTGGACGCCCCCCTCCCCAGCCCATCTCCTGGTGGCCCCACTGATTCCTCCTGTTAGCCACTGATGCCTCCAGCTCAGAGCTGTGTTAGGCTTCAGCTCCCCCGCAGCTGACACTGGTTCCCTTGAAAGCTCACGTCATCTCTCCTGGGTCTGTTCTGTGGGGGCGTCCTGGGACAAGATGGAAGCTTCAGTGACCACTGCAGAGCTCCACCAGGGAGTTACTCGCATTGTCAGTCTCTCCCTGGGCACACCTCACCTGGAAGTCTGAAAAAAGTCCCTTCCAACAGCAGAACCTTGTTAAACTCCAGGAGCGTAGGGGTGGCGGGCGGGGTACCGCTCTTCGGACACTCTCTGTTCCAAGTACTGAGATGCTTTGTGTAATTAGCTCGGTCAATCTTCATGAAAACCGCACATGCAGGTGTCATTGTCCCATTTTATAGCTGAGGGGTGTCATGGTGTGTGGTAGTAAAGACCATAAGCTCTGGAGCCCGACTTCCTTCTCGGGTTTAAATCCAGACTCTTTCATTGACTAGCTGTATGGGCACCTGACTTCAACTGCCTGAGCCTCAGTTTACTCTTCTGTAAAATGAGAATAACTGTAGCATCAAACTTCATGGGTGATGGTGAGGATTCCATTAGAAATTGAGTGATGCACCATAAATGGAACAGATGGCTGATGCCGCTGGAGAAAAATGACCAGAGAGGGGAATTCCCACCCTCCAGGGCACTTAGCCAGGAAGAGGTGGAGGTAAGTCTGTCTGGAATCCCAGATATGCTGGTGTCTGAAGCCTCTGCTCTTGTCAACAGCATCGCCCTCTCTCCTTTCTTGAAGCTTCCTGGCCCAGACCAGGTCCAGAGCCAGCAGAGGGCCGTGAGAAGGCAACAGGAGCAGCCCCTCTGAGGGTACCGGTGAACAAGGGCCTACCAAGGACCTCATGGCTCATGCTTGTTCAAAGAAAAGCAGTTCACAAGCCGTCCTAGGCCAATTCTTGTGTCCCGCATAGTGCAGGCATTCAAGGAAAATGTGTCTGCATCGCACCACGACCAAGAGAACTGTGTGGCACAGCTGCTACTTCTGTAGACTCTTTCAGGGAATGTCTGTCCTTCTAGGGGGAGAGAGAGGATGAATATACAATCCAGGCTGGAGGGCCAGACCGTGGCCAGCACATGAGTTGGGGATAGAGAGGAAGGGAAATAATATTTGGGTCCTACTCTCGGCCCAGCATGGAGCTGGGCACGCCCAGGAGCGAGCCAGCACTGTTACTCTCCCCTCATACTGTACAAGAGCTCAGAGAGCAGAAGGGACTTGTCTAAGGTCCACACGAAGAAGTGGCAGAGGGACTGTTCCAGCCCTCCTGGTCTTATTTCAGTGCCTTTAACACCTACTCCTTGTCGACCTCAAGCCCTTTGCACATGCTGGCCCCTCTGCCCGGAATTTCTCCCCTTCCAGGCATGCCTCTACATCCTAAGGGATTCTGTCTGTAAGCTCCCTGTATGCTTCATGGTCTCAGCACACTTGCAGTTATTTATTTATTTGCCTTCTTTATTTTTTGGCAGATTTCTCCAGTAAAACCTAAGTGCCAAGAGAGCGGGGCGTTGTCTGTCTTATTTGTTGTTGTGGACCCAGTACCTTAGGGCCGCTTTGGGCACTTAGTAGGTACCAACATTTTCTCCATGAAAATATGTAAGAGGGCTAAGAATCTGACCCAGAGTCTAGGCGTGAACTGCCAGTCCACACTGCTATTTTTTTTTTTAAAGGGACAACTTTATTAAGCTGTAATTCACATACTGTACAATTTACCCATTGGCAATGTACAATTCAACGGTTTTTAGTATATTCCCAGAGTTGCACATGTTCATCACCTCCCAAGGAAACACTGTACCCATTAGCAGGGCCTCCCCATTCTCCTCTCCCAGCCCCTGGTAACCCCGGGGCTACGTTCTGTCTCCACGGATTTGCCTATCCAGCACATTTCCTATAAATGGGATCAGATTGGATGCGGGCTTTTGGGATCGGCATTTTACACTCAGCATAATGTCTTCAAGCTTCCTGCCGGTTGCATTGGCACTTCATTCCTTTTTATTGCCAAATATCTTCCAGTGTGGGGATATGCCGCATTTCGTTTGTCATTCACCAGTTGATGGGCTTTTGGGTTGCTTCCACCTTTTGGCTTTTATGAATGATGCTGCTGTGAAAGCTCCCGTATGAGTTTCTGTGTCGACGTATGTTTTCATTTCTCTCCGGTATAGACCTTTGCCTTCCTTTTTAAC